AATATACTTCTCTCAAGACAGAGGAGCAAAATACCATTTTACCACATTCTTTTATAGTGAATTGCTGCTTTGCAGTGAATTGTTGTACAAGCAGACATGCTTAGAGTTGTTGTATGTCCAGGCAAATTTGGGTTTGTAATTAACAACTTCGGCTGTAGGAGTTCTGACTGTCAGGAGTGCTTACAGAGGTGTGGGTTGTTGCTAGAGGTCTGTAGTGTCTGTGTAACTGCTGTCCCATGTCACTGGGGTTATCTGGTTTCTCCAGTTCGGAAAATGTGTCCTTCTCCCCCTGCCCCCCCCCCCCCCTTTTTTTTTTTTTTTTCCCAGAAATGTAAATGGGATTTGTCTTGCCCATCCATAAAATACATGCTGAAAAGCATGGCCCTCAGTGGCCCTCAGCTAAAGCCAGTAAAGCATCTGGAGTGAGGAAAGAAGGAACTTTTTTAGCAGGGTAGCGATCAAGTCCTGAAACAGGCATCTCCAGAGACTAATTCTGCTTATTTTAGAAACATCTCTCTTCCTGCTCTTTTTATAACCAGAGCCTTGATGACTGGGGGTGGGGGCTGACTGTGTGACCAGTGTCGTCCCACATACAGCCACGGACTGTGGCTGAGAAGTAGTATCCTTTGTGCTTTTTTTCCCCACAGTTCTCTTTTTCTCCATCCCCATCTTATCACCTCTGCCATGCCAGGACAAGCATTTTTGTACCCAGTTGGCTGAAACTAGCCACTTGCTTTGGTGGACTAATGTTTCAGGCAGATCTTTTCCTCGCTCCAGCGTTCCTCGGTGGTGGCACTAATGCTAGCACTGGCCAGAAAGGAAAGCAGTAAGAATAAACAACCAGGAGGTTGATTAACAAGGGTGAATAATCAACAAGGAGGGTGGGGCAGCTGTCATAAGTGACTTTCCATCCTTACACTAGATGAAAGTGACAGTAAACATAATCTCAGCTCTAGGAGGGATCAATTCCATACAGCATTTCTTAATCAAGCTTTAAACTCATAAAAACACAGCCGATGCAAAGAGGTGTCAGTCTGCAGGAAGCATGAACCCTAGTCCAAAAGTGTGAGTTGCTTATTCATTTCTAGGTTTATAAGTGTAATTAGAGTGGTGTGGGGGGATGTGAATAAGTAGGCTGTCTGGTTGTTGCCTCAAAAAGGTGGCTTCTGCAGAACAGCTCAGCTCTTACTGTATATTTAGATGTTTCCCCTGTGGTCTGAAGCGTGGTTATGTATTTCAATAGAAAGCTTTGCAGCAAGGCACACTGCAGTACGCAGTAGAGGCAGGTGCCTGGTAGTGTTTTCCTTTGCTTGGCATTGGCTTGGTGGACGCTGGAGTACTGGTGTGGATGAGGAACAGTACTGCAGTGGCCTAACGGCTTGTTGCTAACATTGCCTTAATACTGGTATAAACTGTGGCCTGTGTCCTGTGGGGTGAAATGCTGAGCTGAAGAGTGGTGAGAAGAGAGCAGCATGGCCATCCATATTTGATTTCAAATTAATTAATGTCTCTGTAACTCTTATCCTTATTTCTTGATCCTATTTGTCCAGTTGATTTTCTGCACAGATGCTATTGCTGTTCTGATAAATTGAAAAGACTGCAAAAGGTTTTAGTTCTGTGGATGAGTAAATTTAATTTCTAAGTGTCGTGATGATTAGCAGAATATGAAGGTGCCAAATATTTGTTTTGCAAATTCAAAATTAGTCTCACTATAGAGAATTGATCCTTCCTTTTTCCTGTTGTCACTTAATGAGTCTCTCATTTCAAATTAGAAGCTCCAGAGATTTCCATCAAAGCTGGTTTTATAAAGAAAAAATTCACTTCAAGCATTACTGTTTGTAGAGGCAATTAGCAAAAATACTTGGAAAGCAGCAAGTCCAAACATTGAAGGTTATATCCATGTTTGTCTTCCTACAATATTTAACAAATATAGAGTACAGTTCACAAATGTGCAGAAATAATTTTAAAATCAGTTTTTCAACAGCACACCATTTGCAGCCTTTTAAAAAGGATCCAACTGGTGGTATAGTTGTTGAAGAGGTTCCAGTTCTTGGCAAGCTTACCTTTTGTACGCTTTGAGCTGCTTTTTTTCATGGGGGGGGGGAAATATCACTTTTTCAAGGATTCTGGGATATTTTTCAAGGATTTAATTAAAAAGGGGAGAACAAGTATAATAGAAAATATGTAAATGTTGCGCAAAAAAAAAATCATTTATTTCTTGTAACAATGAGTTCTTTTCTGTTCTTGTCATCTGTGGTTGAATACTGATGCGGGATTTAGTTCCCGCTCCACCAATGGTTTCCTGGCTGTCTAGTGCAGTTAGACATTATTTGTTTTGGTTTATTCGTTTAATAGAGAAATCTGCAACAGGGCAACGCACAGTACTAACCGGTGACTTGCAGAGGATGTGTTTGGTCCTGCTGTGACCAGGCTGCTGCAGGGGCCGGGAGCCGGTTTGGAGTGTGAAGGGTGCGCCTGGCTTTGCTTGCATTAAAGAACAATCAGAATTGAATCCAAATTAGCAAATCTTTACTTGAGTTTTTCCAAAACTCAGCAAATGGAAAAGCTATTAAGCAGTGGAGGTAAAGGAAGCGAGCTAGCGTGTGTTGGAGGGCAGGCAGCTTGCTTTAGGAGGCATTGGCTTAGCCATATATGGAAGAGGACATTTTCCTTGTTAACTTTACGGGGAATCTGTGCCCAGAACTACATTCATCACGCGGATGCATTTCCACAGGAACGGTTCTCTTCCAAATGGTCTTAGTCATAGTTTTAGCACTGTGTCACATCTTTGCTGACTTATTTATATAGTCTGCATGGGCTTGCTGTGCATCCGCTGCTAGTCTGCCCTAAAAAGGTGAACTGTTTATAATTTTCTCATTTTAGCTAACGGAAAAGACAGTACTAAACTGATGCCAGCAGCTTAATTTTTTTTTTCTTACTGAAAAGCCCACCCTGTTCTGGGCTGTAACTTAAAGCAAAACTTCTGCTAGAGGAACAAAATATCCCTTCATTTGTGGGAAGTAAGGTTTGTTAAACGCAGAACATACCTACCATGAAACCAGAAAAGAAGGAACCTAAAAGTCAAACAACCTGGTAAGACTTTCCCCTCCAGACTCCTATTCCAGTAGATGTGCTCCTACACCGGGTAATCATTCTCTTTCTCTTATCTTGATTCAGTCCCTTTGTCTGTATTCCACCTACTCACACTTGCTGGGTCATGGTTCCCCGCTCATCAAGGTTCATGGCTGCACAAGTTTGATTTAGGTGATTGCTTACAGAGGGGACTTAATAAAAGAGTGTTCATAAAAGAGAGTTTTTTGCGAGTGAAGGACTGATCACCTCTGTAGTGATGGGCAGAGGGGAAAAAATGGAGCAAGATATGTGCAATAAGTAATGCTCAAAAGTTAAATTGAACTGTGAGTTATAACTTTTCTTTGGTTTTTTAATCAGTAATTTCTTATGTGCATATATATAACATCTATCAAAGTCATTCCACAGCAAATTCTCTTAATTCTCCCGTGTCTCAACTCCCCCCCCTTCTCTGGCTACAGCATCCACTGAAGAGAAGAGTGGGCCAAAATGACTTATCAGAAAAATATGAACCCTCTAATACTGTTGTTGGACACAATTTATTAGCAAATGGTTGGCTTCTGTTTGAAACCTTCTCTACCAGATTTTAAAGCAGCTATCCCTTCTTTGTTAGGTCTGGCTGGATGTACAGAGTAACAATTATGAATGACCCTAAATCAGTGTGGGAAAACCAAAGCTCAACTGCTGTGCTAATTTAAGCTTTACTTTGCTGCTAATTTATGTGAATAGTAGCACATCTTCTAGACAATGACAGGTTCATTTTAAAAGACTGCCAAATCAACTTTTCCTTGGCTATATTGCAAGATATTTTTTAGAACAAAAAGGTATTAAAAACACTGATGTTTCCAGGATGACTGGAAAGGCTTTAATTAGTAATAACATTTTAGGATGACCAAGGAAATTGGCAGCCAGGGTCCAAGTTCGCAAAATTCTTATAATGAATAAAAGAGAAATGGAATTTAAAGTAGTATGAAAATTTCAAAGATGTGACAACTGACTCTGGCTGACTACCACCTATTAGAGTAGAAGAAAATTTAGAAAAAAATGGTCTATTAGAAACCTATTTTTAGAATGTAATCCTAACTCTGGAGTACTAAGTGAAGTCTCACCACTAAGTAGGGAAGAAAACCAAGTCAGTAACCCTAAACTGTGGTCTATAAGCATTCAAATCTTGTCTCATAAAATATATAAGTTATATTATTTGTATGTATGTATTTTTTTGCCAGGCTTTCATTAAGATTTGTAGTGCTGAACAAAGGGTAGAGTGTTTTTTCTTTGATAATAATGGTACCCATTAATTTTCTGTTGTCTACAGAAGGAAAAAAAAAGGGGGGGCTGAGTTTGTATCAAGGATGCTTTATGTTGCATATTGTGAGAGGACATTGTAAAATGCCCTTTGAAGATTCTGAGGAAAGTATTTTGGAAAGGGCCTTGAAGTTTATCTTAAAACAGAGACTTGAATAGAGAAGTTCCATTTCCGTCTTGTATTCCTGTGGTATCTTTATTTAGGAGTGTCTCTCGGATAACATTCAGAGCATAAATGTTTTTTATAAGATGTTAACAGAACGTTAATATATTGGTTTGGGTTCTTCCCCTCCCTCCCTGTAACTGAACAGCATTTCACAGTTTCTCATAGCTTGCTGGTTTACCTAATACAAGAGTATTTTGAAATAATTTAAGAAGCTACCCTGTTTGATGTCTTCTAAATATAAAGTTTAGGCCATGAATGTGGTTGTATTACAGCAAAACTCCCTGGCTGGTATCATTTGATGTGCATCTGCTCCATGTTCTTTGTCTCCTCCGAAACACAGTTACATGTCTGCAGTTTCGTGCAACTTTTTTGTTTGTTTACTCGTTACGATAAATCATACAATTTGGTCTTCTGTTTATGTATTTCAGACTAATTTAAAATTGCTCGCATGGGCTGGCGTCCTCTGTTGCTTCATATGGAATGGATTTGCTCAGCAAGGTGAGTCACTTGATTTCATTGCAGTAGTTTAATGTTGCTTTGAAACGATACATATTTAGCAGTTATTTATGTAGATAAATACATCATTGTTAGATGAGTACTAGTGGCCTGTTTGTAGTTAGAAATTAGTTTACAAAGCTAGAATGAAACAAACTAAAATTCTGTTGTTGTTAGCACCTTTTTATAAATGAAGTGACTGATCTGTGTTCTTCGCTAGGTGGAAGTGACTGCATAAAAGCTAATGCCAAATCATGTGGCGAATGTATACAAGCAGGACCAAACTGTGGTTGGTGTAAAAAAACAGTAAGTGTTGCAAAATTCCTTTTATGGTTTGTTTTTTTCCCTTGGTTTTAAATTTTAGTACTTTAAATGTATAGGAATGTCTGTGTTCATTAATAATACTTCCCTGTAGCTCTTGAATTTGACACTTATTTGTACTTAAAAATTCAGATACTGTGACTTTCCCGATGTCCTGATTTGAGTAGAATTGCTTTTCACAATGTGTTTACTTCTCCTTTTCTAAATCTTAAGTGTATGCAGATCCTACAGGCTGTCTCATAGTTATTTAAAATCATTCCAGCATGGAATATGTCTGAGTATGTTTAATTATATTCTTCCAGTGACATTAGAGTAAGAGGTAATTTTAGACATAGGTGGAGTAGGAGAAGAGATTGAAGGTTTTCTTTTATAAAAGAAAGATGTTCAAATTTTAGTTTTCTGCTGTTGGTAGACTTGGGGGGTGAGAGATTTGTTTGGGTGGGTTGTTTGTTTCAGTATGAAACATAAAAAGAGTGTTTTCTTATGTAATTAAAATTAAATTCAGGAAATACAAAATGTAAAATGATCTTAAATTGTGCAACTTAATCAGTGTATGCTGAAGTGTCGCCTTCAGAAACAGAAGAAAATGCTTTCTACAGCTCTTCGGTTTGTTGGTGAAAACTGGGAAATTTTCCTGTTTCTTGCTAGAAGATTATAATGTATCTTTCTCTATAGTACCTGCTTGGTGTCCTCCAAATCAGCTTAAACTTTAAACATTTAATGAAACTGACTAACTTTAAAATTTGGCCTTGAGCTGTCAGATTCGTGGTAGGTCCTAGTCATCAAGAATGGTCAAGCTTTAAGGTAGATTTATTTATATGCATATTTTGAGGGGCAGATCAGAATTGCCAAGTTTCTCAATTAGAAGCCTTATTTATTCATATTTGAGGGTAGAGCTTTTTTTAGGTTTGAGGTAATGGTAATTTGTTGTTCAGAACAAAGTTACATATTGGTTTTGCTCATGGATCTTACTTTCTGATTGAATTTCCCCAAAGTAAGAGTTGTCATCTGTCTTTCCCCTGCTCTGTCAGCATACTGCCATTATTTTGTTGTGGAGTAGCAGGGTACACTTACATAATCTTTAATTAAAGCCTTCCAAAAAAAAAAAAAGTTAGTTAAAAGGGAAGGCAGTTGCCAAGTAGGCTGTACAAATGGTTCACGATATTGACAGCTACATGAAGATGAGAGCTTTTTCCATCTGCTGTCACATTTAGAGTGGCGGATTTAGAAGGATGTCCTGCTTCTGTCAGAGGTGACATTGGGCATTTTTTTATCTTTCATCTTGCTTACATCTTATACACAGATTAGTCAAGTAGATGCAAACACCTGGACTAAATAGTAGTCACTGCTTTATTTAGTACAACTTAACGTATTTCAGGACTATGTGTTTTATTACTGAACCTTTAAAAAAAATATGGAGTAAAAAGTGTTATTGTGGGTAGAGTATAACAAATTGCGCGTAACCTTTTACCTGTGTTTTCTAGGACTTCTTGCAAGAAGGAGAACCAACGTCTGCCCGATGTGATGACTTGGCAGCACTAAAGAGTAAAGGCTGTCCTATGGAAGATATAGAAAATCCCAGAGGTAGCAAACAGGTGCTTGAAGATAGAGAAGTAACGAATCGTAAGAAAGGTGCTGCAGAGAAGCTGAAACCAGAGGCCATTACACAGATCCAGCCACAAAAATTAGTACTGAAACTAAGAGTTGGTAAGGACAGTTTCATTCTAGTCTTCACATCTGCACTTTTTGTTTTGAACATGTAACCATTTTGTTACAGAAACTACTATTGTTCAGATAACCTGAATGACAGCAGAGCCATTCAGGTCAGCCCCAGGAGTTTAGATACTCGAAATACTGTTTGATTTTTATGAAAGGTTAGATACAATATTTTTATCACTTGTTCCCAATGTAACTTCTGAGAAAATAAATACAGCATGCATCTATAGATATATCAGAAAGGTAAAATTGGTTTGTTTTCAGTAATTTGTAGTCGATTTTTTTTATAGTATGGTTTCTTAGAATGGAAGTAGAGGAGCACGCAGAAGAAGTTAGGAGAGAATTTTCTTTAGGTGACAGCAGTACTTCAGCAAAAGTCTGCATGTCTGAACTAAATGTTTTTGTAGCTAAGCAGGAAGATTTTTGGATTGCTATGTAAAATACCTGGTCTCCAGAGGCTAAAGATGTGGACACAGGACTACAATGAGAACAAAGTCGTTGTGTAGCATTTCTAGCCCCTAAAGAGAATTTTGTATAATTCAAATGAGGGAAAAAAAACAGGGCTAGTAGCCCATACAGTACTTGAGCATAATGGATATTGTCCTTAAGGAGAGTTCATAGGTACTGCAGATGCATTCAACAGCTACCTTGTATTTACCTGGAATAAGAGCTTGTACTCAGGGTCAGCTACTTGGTGGTGATTGCCTTAATAAATGCAAGATGATCTGAAGAAGCTTAGCACAATAAGGAGAGAGAAGGTAAGGAAAAGAAAGTAAATTATTTTGCAATTTTGGTATTGCCCCTATTTATTTCTAATGTGACCCTTTCAGCTTCAAACCAAATTATGGTCCCTCTGTCAGCACAGAAGTTTGTTCATCAGAACATATTAGGGACCTGGGCAACCAGAACCTAACTACCCAAGAGATTATTACTCTGTTTATAAGCACTTCATTTGGTCACAAGTTTTCTGATAAGGGACTGTGTGGTTGCAGAGGGGGATATTTGCTCTCTGTGCAGGCTCTTTCAAACAGTAGCTGAGGAAAATCTAAAGCTTTTTTTTTGTTTGTGAAAACCATGCTGCATAGCTGTGTGCTGTTCACTTTTCCCATCTAATGTTTTCCCTGGCTTGCTAGTTTTTCTCATAGTAAGCAAATGTTTGCTAATTAATAAGCAGAATTAAGCAGCAGCAATATCGCCCTTTAACTTCAGTAACTGAGGGGGGTGGGGGAAAAAAACTTCTAATTCTATTCCTTATTTCATATATACTAGACAAAAGATTACTTTTCCGTTTTATGAGGTGGGTAATTCTTCTGCGGTGTCCTTCAACATCAGAATGAGACTACATGCTTCTGTTGGCAAGACTGGGTTTGGACTTAAAATTGCAACAAACAGTAGCTTGCCGTTACCTCACTGCCTTTTCTGTGCTCTCAGCCTCTGTATCTTGAAATATTCTGTTTAGAACTGATTTGTCTTTTATAAACCTATTTAAACAATGTTGGGTTTTAAAAATTAAACCCTGATTAATATTTTGAGTCATCTTGGATGCAAGTAGATGCAGAAAATTCATGCTATTTGATCTTATAGGAACCTGGTTAAAATTATTGCAAGTATCAAGGTTTGAAATTGCAGCAACTGAGAGAGGCTTCATTTTTGTCTGGCTAGTATTTTCTGTGGAGTGATAAAATACCTTGGAAGTATGAAGTTGGACATATGAAAGAAATACTACTTGACTTCCTTTTTTCATCATGCTTTGATGATAAGCATTTCAATTAACAGGAGAAAAAGATCACTCACCTTGAGTTCAAAATCTCCACCAGTATTTCAAAGACTTCCCTTAAAAAGGCATTTTTCTTGTCAGTGCAGTTGTTGAATTTTAATGGCTTCTGTTTGTTGTTTAATCTCTGAAACAGGGGAACCCCAAACGTTTTCATTAAAATTTAAGAGAGCTGAAGACTACCCCATTGACCTTTATTATCTTATGGACCTCTCCTATTCTATGAAAGATGATTTAGAGAATGTGAAAAGTCTTGGAACGGCTCTGATGGTAGAAATGGGAAAAATAACTTCAGACTTTCGAATTGGTAAGAAAGATTTGCTTATTCTAAAAAAAATAAATAAAAATAATCATTTCCTTCCTGGTGTTTTCATATGATTACATATGAAGAGTAATTTTTTAAAATCAGCAGTATTATGACAGATATTCTAATACATAGAACTTGTTGAGGAATGTAAGACTACTTGGTGTTGAAGGTGAAATGTAAACAGTAGGAGAGTTATTTCTGATGTGAGTTCAGCTCTAATACATTTATATTCTATTGTATCATGATATACATAAGAGAATTTCATTCTTCAACTTACCATTTTTTTTAATTGTTCTGTCTTAGGCTTTGGCTCTTTTGTGGAGAAAACTGTGATGCCATATATAAGTACAACACCAGCCAAACTCAGAAATCCCTGTACAGGTGACCAGAACTGTACAAGTCCATTTAGCTATAAAAATGTGCTTAGCCTTACCAGTGAAGGAAATAAATTCAATGAACTTGTAGGTAAACAGCACATTTCTGGGAATTTAGATTCTCCTGAAGGTGGATTTGATGCAATAATGCAGGTTGCAGTTTGTGGGGTAAGTATGTATTGGTTTTCTTTACTATTAGATGACATCATTTGAGTACAGCCTTAGTATTTTATGATGGCTGACGTTTGAACGTGTCATCTCATGCGAGCAAGACATGGTAGACTAGGCAGACTGCATGGATATATGCATTTGTCTTTTGTAAAGGCCTCTAGGGAGCGAATGAAACTGGGAAATGTGAAAGTGCCGGTTAGAGGTCATGTTCACAGCAGACAGATACATTCCAAAGACAATGTTTATAAGGGTTGGTATAAAAGAAGAGGCAAATTCTGCTCACAGGAGTATAAAATCCTGAATAAGCAACTATTCTCAAATTATTTCAAAGCTTTATGCACTTCTAGCTGTTGTTTCAGAATAGTTTGGTGAATTGTAACTTCTACTAGCTTCTCAGACAGTAGATAGAAACCCGATTTTTGTTTATTTTTGAAGATTTGATCTAGATACTGCATTCTTTGATGTTTCCGTGGTCTGGACCACTATGCACTCGTACAACATGGACTCCCAAAAAAGTCATATCCAAGTTCACTGCTTTGTTACTGTATTATTATGCTGTTGATCAATGGAGTCAGGGCTTTCTGAAACAATCTGGAGTCTTACTTTAAAACTAGAGTGTCAAACATAAGCCTTCTGGGGTTTTTTTTGTTTTGTTTTTTAATTTTTGTGGTAACTGGTATTTGTGTGACCTTTTTATATGGCCTCCTACCCCTAAATCACCTGGGGCTTCAACTCTGGAAGAATTTAAAAAAAAAAAAAAAAAGAAAGAAAAAGAAAGGATGAATTACAGAATTAGGCCCTGTAGTACAGCAAAAAACAGCAATCCTCTGGCAAGCTCTGTGTTGAGTACAAATCTGGACTACATTGGCAAAGCCTGATGATTGTTCAGAGCCTAGCACCGGGCAAGCAGTAATCTTCAAATTCAAGATTGCAGCAGCGTTCTACACACTGATGTTGTCCTCTGCACTCAGGCTGTGTGGAGTGACTTGAGTGTATTAAAGAGCTGGACTGACATACCCAATTTCTAAAACCCTATCACTCTTCACATACTCTAATGAGAACTGAACAGACCAAAGTACATCTCAAAAAGAATGTTTCTTGCCTTCGGTAAAAGTCCTACAGCAGATGTTTTAGAGTAGACATTTAGTTAAATGCAAGTGCTTTTAGAGTTTGCCTGAATTATATGATTTCCAGGGTGACGCTTTTGCAGTATGGCTTCTCCTAAGTCTGTCTACTTTTTCATGCATTTATCTCTCAAGTGTTGCTATAAAATAAATCGGTGCAAAATACTAAAAATCCATTTGTTTGTTTCCCAAGGAACAAATTGGATGGAGAAATGTTACAAGACTACTAGTGTTTTCCACAGATGCTGGATTTCACTTTGCGGGAGATGGTAAACTTGGTGGAATTGTTTTACCAAATGATGGAAAATGTCATCTAGAAAATAATATGTACACAATGAGCCACTATTACGTAAGTCTTTATATCGTCTTCTAGGGAAATTAGTATTTTGTGATGTTTAAGCTCAAAAAGCCTCAATAGGTCATCTGGTACACTTTCAGACCGATGCATCTTTTGAACTTTACCCATTTACCTCTGTATTACATCAAGTAACTTTAGCTTAACTAAAGAAAATGTGGAAGAATTAATCCTGTCTTGATTGGAAAATTTCAAGAAATGACAGCTTTCACACTGATTTGTGTCCACTGGCAAACTGTGGTGGCTCTGTCCCATTATTTTATAATTTTGCTAATTTTTGTGTTCAGAACTACTTTACTACTGCAGAAAATAATGTAAAATAGAGAGCTCCTTGTCAGGTTTTTAAGGCTGCTTGAAATCTTATGGTGCAAAGTTTATGGTAAAAGTATGCTTAACAACACTGACTTCGTGGTTTGTTGATAGTGTCGTGGTTTAGGCCAAATTGGCTACTGGGGACCTGGGGGACCCCAGATGGGACCAACAGATGCTCCCCTCTACCCCTCTTTAAAGAGAGGGGCAGAGGAAGAAAAGAGACTTACGAGTTTAGAAGGAACTAAACTACTTTAATGAAATATTAATAATAAAATAAAAAAAAGAAATAATGAAATATATACAAAACCGTATCAAGCTCCCGAGTGACAATCACGACACCGGCTGGCACTGGGGCAGTCCCAGGCTGGACTCAGTGACGGACGGGAACTGGATTCCGGATCTGCATTCAGGATCGGGATCGCAGGCAGACAGAGTCCTCCTCAGACGTCGGCCATTGCAGGAAGAGAGAGAGCTGACCTCTCGATCCCTCAGCCTTTATACTGAGCATGAGGCAGATGGGATGGAATACCCTCGTTGGTCAGTTTTGGGTCACCTATCCTGTCCGCTCCTCCCTGCAGGTGGGACCCTACTATGCTTTTCCACTTCCGACCCTCCAACGGGGCAAATAACAAAGTTGGTTGCCCTTGGCTGTTATAGCAATAAGTATAAGCCAGGTCCTCTCTGCATACCATGGCTGGGCATCACCCATAAACATAGGTCTTATCACCCCGAGAGAGTGAACAGTGTCTGCACAATATGCTGTTAATTTCAGTTGTTAGAGAGGCCCAGCTAAGAAGCAAAGTTACTGACCAAAATTGGTTCTGTTTTACCTCAAACCAGGACAGAGAGGTAGATCAGACAAAAGGTGAAAAGAAAAAGATTTACTGGGTGGGGTAAACACAGTGAGTTTTACAAATTTTATGTGTTCACATATTCCTAAAATTGAGTATTGTTCAATAAAAGCATAAAATTAATTCAATTTTATTTCATCTTTTCTTTATGAAACAGTGGTTTTCACTGAGATAAGTCATGTGGAAACCCAACAAAGGTAATTTTGTGAGAACATTGAGATTAGGGATTTAATGTGGAGACTCTAAGTGGCAGGGAATACAATAATGTTATTGTGGAAAAAAACCTCTTACCTTGATGGGGCATATATGGAATATTTTCAATGCATGTTTGTTTTCAGAGGTTGTTTTGATTTAGAACTGTGCCATAAGCTGGCTACTTAGAAGTCTTACCTATGTTTCTAGAGGTGATTTGTATCACATTTGTATCTGGCATGTGTCCCAAATTTGAATTCCATTTTATGCTTAATTTTTAAAGGATTATCCCTCTATTGCTCATCTGGTGCAGAAGCTTAGTGAGAACAATATTCAGACAATCTTTGCTGTTACTGAAGAGTTTCAGGCCGTTTATAAGGTAAAGATAAATCAGACATATTTCTGGTCTCTGTACTTTTTTCCCTCAAACACAAAGACTGACTCGGATTTGCTCTGAAATCATTAAAATTGCTTCATTTGAACTTAAAATAAGCATGGAAGTAACCGATTGTGGAAGTAATATTTTGCGTTCATGTTTTTATTATTAAGCCTTTTTTACTTGGTCAAATGGATACTGAGTGTGTGTGCAATTTCCAAGGAGAAAGTGCCCCCCCTCCTTGCCCCTCTTCATACTTTATAGGTAGGAGGGAGTGGAGAACGTATTTGCAGTGCTGCTTTTAATGAACATTTTAACAGCAAAATAGCTGAGGGGGGTGTGGACACTGAATCAAGAAACACTCCTATGAAAGAGCATATTTTGTCCTTTGTGGTTTATTTATATTCCTGATGTTTAAAATTAACTAAACTGCTGGATGTGATTGTGAAATAGGAAATGACTGTGTAAAGGAGATGCATGTTTTTCCTCATGTTAACCTAAGAAGGTACTTTTTTGTTTTTAGAAATACTCAAAATTGCAAGTTTTTTTTCTTTTTCACTGGAAATCATCTCTTACCTGCCTATCTTTAATGGATGTGTGATGGTGCTTCTTTAAGATCTTGAAGATATATTGTTTGTGCTCAACTTGTACAAGAGAAGGTCTTAGTATTCTATTACCGAATTTAACATGAAAACACAGAGAAAAAGGAAAGGCTGGGTATTTGTTTATACTTGTAGTGCTGTGTATAACCTCAAAAATCATGAAGATCACTGGCAGCACTTTAGCCTTGTTTTTCGAAGTACTTGATCTTGACTAGTTAATCCACTAAAGCATTGTATCACCATACAGATATTTGTAGTACAAATTATGATTTGTATGTTAGTAAGACTGTAATTTTCCTTTTACTTTTGTAAATACTGAAAGGAATTGAAAAATCTGATACCAAAATCAGCAGTGGGAACATTGTCTTCAAACTCCAGCAACGTGATTCAGTTGATCGTTGATGCATACAATGTAAGTTCAGATTTTATTTGGGTTCTATTTCTTTTTCCTGCTTTTAAGTTGTTATGGGTTTTTCAGGCAGATACTCCAAGGTGGATTTTATTTTTTTTCTACAAAATAGGAAGTTAGTACAATAAACTATAAAAATACCCCCGTTGCAGTAAAACCACATTAGACATATAGACACTAGCAATAAGAGCTTAGATAACGAGAAAGATGTACTCTTAAAGCCACTTAACTTTTCTTTGTAGTTTTGTTTTATCATCCATGTTTTCCTTTTTTTAAAAAAAAAATAAAACACACAACCAAAAAGCCTGCTGTTTCTTCAGCATCTTCAGTTCTTGCCTTCTTTCCATGTGGAAGGGAAAAGGGCCATTTTGCAACCTCTTGACCCCAAAGAAAACATCTACATCAACTTCAGGGACCTCAGGGTTTGGCCCTAAAATATTTTCTTCATAGCTGTGTTGTGTAAATGAGCCCCATTTCTCTCCTGGAGTACATGGGGCAAACAGGTGCCTCCAACATCCGCAGAGATCTGCCCTGACCCTGTGTAACAGGGTTCAGCCTTGAGAAGGGGTCACGACTGTGGGCAGCCCTGGGCTGGTGTTTCTCAGCACATTGGAACTGACATATTTCCAGTGTGCCTGTGGGACTGGTGCCTAGACTGGGCATAGTTGTATCGTGTTCTCTCTGTAACTCCGTTCGAAGTTAGCTAATAATTGTTGTTTTAGTCCCTTTCTTCAGAGGTTATCCTGGAAAACACTAAGTTACCAAAAGGAGTGACAATCAGCTATAAGTCTTTCTGCAAGAATGGAGTGAATGACACACAAGAAGATGGAAGGAAATGTTCTAACATTTCGATCGGAGATGAGGTAACTTACAGTATATCTGCTGCTAATCAAATACAATATTCACTTAAAATGTCCAACACAAGTGTTTGGGTTTTTTTTATAATACAGACAAAACTCCTTTAGTAATGCAGATTCCATTTATTTTTCTTTGCAGGTTAAATTTGAGATTAATGTAACAGCTAATGAATGTCCAAAGAAAGGACAAAATGAAACCATTAAAATTAAACCACTGGGATTCACTGAAGAAGTGGAAATTAATCTCCAGTTCATCTGTGAGTGTCAGTGTCAAAGTGAAGGAGAACCTAATAGTCCAGCCTGCCACGAAGGAAATGGAACATTTGAATGTGGAGCATGCAGGTAAATAAATGGACATTTGGGTTTGTTTGTTGTTTTTTTTTTTTTTTTGCAAAAAAGAAATACAAGCAAGACCTTTGTTTCCTTAAATAGGGTTTACTGGGGTTTACTATTATTTTATTCTATTTTATTTTTTAGTGAAAGGACAAGAATTACCGTTACAGACCTGTTTCTTCTAGGTTATTTTGAAATACTGCCTTATCTCTGCAAATAATCCCTATGCTGGAATTCATAGTATTTATTGATCATTAGACTGGCACTATTGTACAAGTCAGATTTCAAATTTAGCCTTGAGTCAGTCCTTAAAAGGATATAGGTCTTACTGCTTTCTCTTTTTCTTTATTTAATTTTGAGGTCCATGTAATAGGGCAAAACTATGGAATTATGGGACAAAACGAATGGGATTACTTTGTGATGTTTTTGCAAGTATTCATACTGATCTAACTATAATCTTCTAATGTGAGGTCTGTTGATTTTGAGAAAAATCAAAGGCTTCCTAGTTTTTTGGTAGGAGCTCCTACTCAGATTGGCACCAATTGTTTCAGAGCAGGAAAGAGTAAAAAGTCATAAAAGAACCACCTTTTATTTTGGATGCCTTCTTGGATGACTTTTATTTTGGACTTCTTCCTACTTTATTTCTAACCTTCTGGGATCTTCTTGCAATGTTTCTTCTAATCTGTAAATCTTTCAGAATATATATAATTTGTTGTGTACTTACGCCTTTGAAATGTCCAATATTGCGTATCACAGGGATTAGATTACACATGTATTCCTTATTACTCAAATTTTCAAATGTGTAAAAAGATACTGCACTTTCTGGAATTACACACAATGAACGCAGAGCAAAATCGTAGAGTGTCAGTGGAGTCTGGTTGAAGATCAGCCTAGTAAGTCAAGGTTTAAGAAGGTTCAAGAAACCTACAGCAAAAATGAAAATCGTTTCCTCTTGGAAATCCTTGAGACAAGAATGGTAAGAGCAGAATGGAATTAGTATCTTCTCTAGGAAAACAATATCTAGGACTTTGGAAAACAATATTGGTTCCCACTCAGTGAACTGTAACTGAAATAAGATGTAGAATTCTCATTCCTCATGGTTTAATATATGACTTATTAAAAATAAAGCAAAAGATAACTGACTTAACTCTTAGAGGACTTTTGGTGTAGGATGGACTAACATCTGCCTGGTGAAGTTGGTGGTGGTTAAACGGGGTGTTTGAAAGACTGCAGTATGGCCCCCTAACTGCTTAGTATTCTATAAGTTGAGGAATAAGCCACTTCAGATCCAGTATTTATGGTCCATTGCTTCATTTTGCAGTGAGTTTTTGATGTTCCCTTTAAATAAGGAGAACAGACTTTCCCATCTTCATGTAGAAAGACTTCTTAAACTTGGTATCTCTGTGACTGGTGACCCCATGATTTCACGTGGAGGAGAACAGACCTGTGGATAAGAACAGCCTTTTGCTTTTGCAACAACAGCAGTTTCCTCTTGGAACCGTTGTCTCTGACTGATGCCCCCCAACAGCTTGTCAGTCATTGCTGGGAACAAGAATGACCTCCATTTGTTCATTGATACTTTAGCCTTAATAATGAGAAGTTTCAGCTCAGCAGCTCTGAAGATCGTCTATTCTCCTGCCTATTGCTGTTCATGGAAAGTGTTTTTATTGCAAGATGACAGCAGCTACAGTGAGCAGTCGCTGTCACTCAAAAATAATTATTGTTCTGTCACATGACAGAGGCATTAATAGTGGTAATGTGACTCTAACTAAATGAGGTGGTGACGGTTTCTCACCTGGAATGAGTAATCAGCATAGGAGCAACTTAGTCCAGTTTGCTCCAGCGGCTTCAAGAATGGCTACATAGATGTCAGCTGGAAATCTCATTTGAAGTTTAACACAAAATATTCTATGAGAGAATAGTCACTTTTACTCCTGTTCTTTGTGCTATTTTTGCAGTCATTTTTATTGTATGACTTCTGAGTTTACATTTTCAGTTGTGTTTTTACCTTGCAGATGTAATGAAGGGCGTATTGGAAGACTATGTGAATGTAGTACAGATGAAGTAAATAGTGAGGATATGGATGCTTACTGCAGGAGGGAGAACAGTACAGAAATATGCAGTAACAATGGAGAATGCATTTGTGGACAATGCGTATGCAAGAAAAGAGAAAACACCAATGAAGTGTACTCTGGCAAATACTGTGAATGTGATAACTTCAACTGTGATCGATCAAATGGTTTGATTTGTGGAGGTGAGAAACTACTTCAGAGATTTCTGCAGGCAGAACTGGCCAGCAGTTTACAAGTCTGTCAACTCTGCTCTGTAGAGTAGTGTTACTTTGCTTTGTAGATCATAGCTACGTGATAACAGAGATGAGAATATGCACAAATTTAGTGATTGAAAACGTCTGTTAATAAAACAGCTCTCTGTGACCATGAACATACAGTATGTTAATACACATTACACCTTCCTTAAATCACAGCTCCAAGAAGGATGTAAAGTGAACTTGACTTCTGCTGTTTATTACAGAATTACCCCCAGATATTATAGTAAAGAATGCTGAGACAACTGGCCTGAGATTATAATGTTATACTGGCTCAGTGTAACCACTGCGTCAATAAAAAGAGATAATGACCTCAGCTTACTTGTAATAGTGAGTGCTTGATTCGGTGCTTGACAAGATACCAGTGAGATGCTATCTTGAGACTATTCTGAAAGGTAAGTGAAGATTAGAACATGCAAGATCCAGAAAAACACCTTAAGTGCTTGAAACAAGATTCTGAGAACAGTTAATTCCTGAAATCAAAAGTAATTTAGAAAATCCTCCAGTAGTCAGTGTCTAAATTATTTTGCTGCGTGTATTTTTGTCACACAACTTCCCTAGGCTGCTTTGCACGTGGAGATACCTAGTAGGTGTATCACTACTACCTCAATTTTGACTGTGATACAAAAATAAAACAGAGCATCTACTAAGCTTTAACTGAATTATGAGAATACCTCATCTGTGTGATTTGCTCAGAACACACTATTGCTCGCTGTCTCCGCAAAGGATAGGAGCAGTGGTGGTGGTGTTCCATAATATATGGTGACAGATAAGTATTGACCTAAACATTTTATTGTTAATGGAGAAGGGCGTAGCCAAGGATCTTTCCATTTCATCCAAATCACCCTTCTGGAGATACAGCTATCTTGTTTCCTGTGTAGGGAGTGTAAGGGGCATAAAGCGTGGTTGGGTGGATGAGGTCAGAAGTTCAGCAGCTGAATGGTGGTGTTCTGTGGAGCCAAAGGTGTTTCATTTTTCTGCGTAGCAAAGTCTGTTAGTGCATTCCTCATCTTTTTAGGTCTTGCTTTATAAATGTACATAGTGATACATATGAAAACTGTAGTGATCAATTCATCTGTATACGTATAAAATTGTGAACTGAAGCATTGCTGTAACACTCTCCACCCAGCAGATATGACCATCACATTATACTGTTCTTGATCAGCTTTGCCTGGTCTTGTTATTTTGTTTATGAAAGGAAATCCAAATGTAGGAGAATGGGAAAAGGGGAGAAACACCTGTAAGTAGTTTTTTTAAGGAGCTAAAATTTATTTTGTAGCTCTTAATTCATCAGTGTCTTATCTGACCACAAGGGTTTTCTTTTCCCTGTATCTGTTCTGAGATGCTGAACATTTATTTCTTACTGTCACACATTTTATGGTTTTATATTAGGCTTCATTTCACTGTAATGTCTTTTCAATGCACAGGAAATGGGATCTGCAAATGCAGAGTGTGCGAGTGTTTCCCCAACTTCACTGGCAGCGCATGCGATTGTTCTTTGGATACTTTTCCATGTATGGCATCCAATGGGCAGATTTGCAATGGAAGAGGAACCTGCGAATGTGGAACCTGTAACTGTACAGATCCCAAATTCCAAGGCCCCACGTGTGAAATGTGTCAGACTTGCCTTGGTGTCTGTGCAGAGCACAAGTGAGTACCTAGAAAACCAGATCCCAGCTTCTATGCATTTGAGTTTGTGGTATTTACATGTGCAGAATTTTTAAAATGAGGCTTTTGATACTGTGCTTTATCCCTGAAATGTAGGGACATCTTGTCGTATCATCCCTTTAGACAGTACAAGTTGTTGGGTAAGAATCAGTAATTACTAACAAAACATTATTAATACAGTATTTTGATTGCTTCTAGGTAAGCTAATTATTTCTTAAATTCTTTCCCTGACATTTTTCTTAAACATAGAGATGTGTACATTATGTTGAATCAGTTTTAACTATTCAGATTGACTTGGGCAGGTTACAGCTTCTCCTGTTTTGTGTATGATTACTGACAGCAAACCTTCTGCAGAGCTGGAGGGAATATCGGTCTATAATGTGACAGGCTGTGAAGTCCCATCATCTTGCCCTTTTGAAATTAATGTAACAAAAGCATATGTGTACTGTGCAATTTCCAAATTAGTTAAAACTTCAGCTAAGGTTTTTGCTTAAAACTTTTATCTGAAACGCTGTTGAAAAAGTCACACTGTCCTGATAGTTTGAAAACTAAACCTAGATTTGTGTGGGCCAATGAAGTTTTTATCCTTGCCTTTGGAAACTCAAGTTTTTGGAAACCAAGCATTTTCTGCACGGAAACTTTGAAATAAGTTTATGATTAGTGTGGGGCTGATTCCTGGCTTTGTGCAGCTGACTTTAAGGTTTTCTCTCAGCACAGTCTTTTTAGTGTGAAAATCCTGCTCGGTCTGCTTTTTTCAGTGAGTTATTCAGAGTGATATCCTATTGTAAGGTTTGTAGCTCAGTTTCTTCTTTTTAACCTGAGATACTGTTTCACTGTAAATATACTGTTCCTACACTGCCTTCTCTGAGAGTATTTGTTTTCCAGGTGGAGGTGTTGAAAAAGTTTTAGCCTTATTTCCTTTTGGAGATTTAGGCCTTTTTTTTTTTTTTTTTTTCCTCATTCTGGAAGCTTGTGGGTCATCCAGGGAAAAAAGGAATTTATTAAAGGGGATTTTCGTTAATTGCAAGGTACACAAATGTTCTGACTTGTAAAAAAGCTGTGTCTTGCTTTATTTTTTCTTGGCCTTTATGGCAAAAGGGTTGGTTTTGTTGGGATTTTTTCCCGCATTTTCTCCTTCATGTTTCTTTAGATTAAATGCTGGAAGTCTTTCATGAACATATTAAAAAGCATCGCTTCCGATTTGTATTTCCATAGGGACTGTGTTCAATGCAGAGCTTTCGATAAGGGAGAAAAGAAGGAAACATGTTCTCAGGAATGTATGCATTTCAACATGACACGAGTAGAAAGTCGAGACAAGTTGCCACAGCCTGGACAGCCCGATCCGTTGTCTCATTGCAAAGAGAAGGATGTGGACGACTGCTGGTTCTACTTCACGTATTCTGTCAACTCAAATGGTGAAGCCAATGTCCACGTGGTAGAGACCCCAGGTAGGAACATGAAGTTGCTTACTCTCTCTTCGTCTTTGTTGTGAATTCGTGCAGTTGTCATGTACTACAAAGTAGCTCTGGTTGATTCGCGTGAGTTAGATGTATTTGGAAAGAGGTACCTATTGCCTGAGTGAGAGTTGTGGATGTCTGGAACTTGAGTGGATTTAGAAAAACATAAGTCTCTCTAGATCTAGTTTTTTTCAGACCTTTAGGCTGACAGAAACAGGTTTTGTTTTTTTAAAACCAAAAAGTCAATCAGATGGGTGTATTTATTAAAGCATTTCATGTTTCCACTTGACATACTTCGCAAGCTTGTTTTACCTGTCCTGTAGCAAGTCCTAGATATCTAAATTTTGATATTTTTTTTTGGTTGGGTTTGTGCTACAGGTTAGAAACAATGGTGTCTGTGGGGTTTTGTTGCTTTTTTTTCCTTTTTTGAATAATATGGGACCAGTCTTACACAAAAAACCAACACAAAATAGTGTACTGTGCTGCAAACTGCTTAAACTATTTCATGCTGGAAGCCTTTGCTTTTACTTTACTGAGGTACCTTCAAGAATAGGTCTGAAAAGCCTTTTGCTTAGTTAATCCTTAAGAATCAACCATTCTTGATTTTGTTCAATCTTCTGATACAAAAAAGAGAGAACAATTCCTTAGCTCGATCAGTAATTTACCGTTTATTTACCATAAGTATTGTTAGTTTGAATCAGTGGATGTTGCATCTAACAGTGCAAAAATTCTGATTTTGTACATTAGCAGTGTGTGGTCTCACGATTTTTATCAGCTTGATACACAATACACACCTTATGTGTTGAAAGGTTTAGTGCTGTATTCTACTCAGGGAACTTTCAGAATTGATTGTTTGGGTGATCATCACTTAACACAGATCAGTGATTAGTGGCTCTTAGAAATACATACCACTTCCATTCAGAATGTTTTAAATTCTCTAAAAATGTAGTCCAAAGTATAGAGGAAGACCTTGAGCCCCATCTTTTTTTAGGACAAGTCAACACATGCCCTACCTTTTTGGGGTCTGACCTTTTCTTCATGAATAAACTTCTGTTGCCTTAGTTAGGAGCTGAATCAAGCCTCCATGCACCAGGAGGCACCTGAAATTTTGTGCCATACAAGTGCCATAGGAACAAGCTCTGTTCTGTAGAGCTGTATTCAGTGGATGCGTTCCTTACTGGTTCCCAAGGAATTCCTGTCCTGTCCCTTCCCACTTCCCTCACTCCTGCAGAGGCAGCTACCAAGATTAGGAGTCTGCAGTTTGGGGGGAAGCAGCATTTCTGTTGACAGCACAGGAGTTGCGTTTATTTGCTTCTGACTCCTTCAGCCTGTGCATTGAGCTCTGCAAAAGCCCTTGTTCAGTTTGTGATTATTGAGAATTTTATATTAATAGAAGAGTTGGGTTTTATTTTGGAAGATTATTATTTCTATGTCAGTCAACTTAAATAATTTTGCATCTGTATTACTCTTTTTAAACATATATTTCACTTATTTTGAAATTGCATGATATTTTTATCCAAAGATGATGTGCCTTTTTTTTTTAATTTTATTCCAGCAGAGATCAATTCCCAAAATGAGGAAATATCCTAAAAAAAAAAAATCAGTCTCAGAAGTAGAGTCATTACTTATCACTATATATTAGCTATTAACAATAACAGCCATCTGAGGTAAAATGAGGAACACCCTTTTTCTGTAATGCTGTCGTTAGAGTATGTGGGGACTGTTTTGGCAATCTCTATTTTGTGCTCTAGCTGGTTTATCCCTCTAGCACCACCACCTTTGACTTGGAGCTCTCACATGTTTAAAATACAATAGCTAGTTATTTTACTCCGGTACTCTAGATGAATAGCTTAGGGGGTTAGCAGTGTGTAGACTTGAACGTGAATGTGTTCTATTGCTAAGATTAAACACAAATTGGAAGGATAAAAATAAGGTGGAATGTTACAGGATGTACACATTCCAAGACTTCCATTATTTGAAGGGAAAACAGTATTGGCATATCTCTGATATTCAAAATACTGGCTTCAGTACAAAATGAAAATTTAAGAGCATCTGGATGTGCATTACCTTTAGCATTTTGTAAAATCGTGCTTCCCTTGCTTTCTTCCCTAGAATGCCCCAGCGGCCCTGACATCATTCCCATTGTAGCTGGTGTGGTTGCTGGAATTGTTCTTATTGGACTTGCATTATTATTGATTTGGAAACTACTAATGATCATTCATGACAGAAGAGAATTTGCTAAATTTGAAAAGGAGAAGATGAATGCCAAGTGGGATACGGTAAGTCAAGAGGCTTTTATCTGTATAAAAGCTGCAGTAGTTGAGGAAGAATATAAGATTTTTGTTCACGTGCCTCAAATATTTAAGATTGTATTCCTGCCTTTTGGCCTATGGACAAACAGAAGTATCCTTATTTAAGCCAACTTTAAAATGTGTTATATGTTACCACTAGCAAAAAACACCTCCAACAACAACAAAAAAAAACCCACAACCAAAAACCCCAACCCTCTTTGAGAAGTACCTCTTGGGTTAGAAAAGCTAGTAACTTCAGCTGAAATAAAATTTCAGAGAGGAAATGTGACGGTGACAGAATAGTTCAGCTTTGCAGTTCTGCCACACTTTACAACACATTATTAAATATTTATTAGAAGATGAGAGTCACTTTTGTATAAAATGAGGAAGAAAATTTTACACTGATGAAAGAGATGTTGTAAATACTCATACAGGTTTAGTTGGGAGATTTGAATAACTGGACCCAAAATCAGGGCTGGTTCTGATTTGTTGAAATCTTCCCAACCCCTTCTCAATGGAAAAATATGCAAGAAAAACAAGCCTGTGGTCTATAGGCTTAAATAGGCTATAGGGTCACTGCCTCTAGGAAATTTTAGGAATCTGCTAATCAAAAACCCTTCGCTACAGTTCTATAGAAGTCAACACCCACGTATGCTTGATGAGAGAGTAATTTTTAAAAATCTCCCAGGAACTCATTGGTTTTTATTTAAGAAAGTTAATTCTATGCTGGAAAAAATATTACTAACACTTTTCTTTACATATAGAATTATTTTTTCGGTGATAGTTGAGAATGTTACTTTTTTTATTTTTCCTGTTGAATTATTCGCCATTGACCATTTCTTTTACTTCAGCAAGAAAATCCAATATACAAGAGCCCTATTAACAATTTCAAGAATCCAAACTATGGACGTAAAGCTGGTCTCTAAATCTCAGTTTGTATCTTCTTTCATTTTCTTCCTTTTTTTCCCTTTGCATGTCACTTCAAACTCACTGTGTGTCACAGTCAGTTAATCACCGTTTGAGTCTTGCTTAGTTTATCAACTGCTGCTTTGATTCTGGGGTATTAAAGAATGCAGCTTGAAATTTTTTAACTTGTTTTGACAGCAAGATTGCTTGCTTACTAATACCACCAGTAGTGGCTTATACTATTCTACAAGTCTTTTTTTTTTTTTTTTTTTGTTGGGGGTGGGGGGCAGAGGGGATAAATGTGTGGATATACAATAGAGCAGCTGTGAGGATTGAAGAAGCTCTGGATCATTCAGGGGAGGGTTTGTCCTCTATTTCCTCAAATCAGCAGTCAGTTTGCTTAAAGATGATATGTTTGCAAAGCTAGTTTATATATTCCCCAGATATCCCAGCCTATAAATATCACTGTTTTTATTAGAATAACTGGGAACATTCAGAGTAGCCTTACAAATATTTTTTTTTAACTGCTTTGGCTTATTAATCTCATATAAACCTAGCTTGTCTTTAAAGTGTGAAATGCATATACTCTACTGATTTGATAATTAAATACGCATCTTAATTTTTTCATCCCTATTTGTATTGGAACTGGCAATATCACAGTCCTTGTAGCCCAGCCAGCTTGGGGGTCTCCATATAAAAAAAAAAAAAAAACAACTTAGTAGGAGAGGAGGAAGTGTTCTTGTCCCCTCCAGATGCATTTTCCCCCAGTTTCTTAGTCTCTCCTAAACTCTGCCTGAAGACCTCATTTCTGTTTGGAAATGCTTACTTCAGAAACAGCAGTATCCAGAAGAGGAAGTCAGTAAACCAGAAGTGATGTATATCTTCTGTAGGCTTTGAGGTTGCACTTTTTTTGAATGCTTTGGGTGTTCTCCTCCTTCCCTGGGATCCTCAGCTGAGGAAGGAGTGAAAAAGGGAGGATGAGATGGGGAATGGATGTCAGAAGAATGTTGAGATATAAAAAGCACAGAGATCAGATTAGAGGAAGGGGAAAGAAGAAGCTGGGAAGGCAGAACATCCCTTTAAATACCCAACAGCTTTTTTTCAGGAGCCAGTGGAAGGGAAGGATCTGTATCTCTAATATTGTTCTGTCTGCTGTCTCCCTTTTTCAGTGTTGCACTCAGAAGATTTTTGTAAAGGAAAAATGAGAGGAGAAATCAGGAATTAAGAGTATTTAAGCTCTTATCTGTCCTCACTGTGACAACATTTTTAAATACTGTGTCTAGCATTCTGAGCCCTTCCTTGGTGAAATCTATTCTCTGTTTCTCTTTGCAATCATTTCACTTCCCAGTGTGTCCAAAATTTAGTGTAAAAATGTTCCTTTTGCTTGCCACACCGACCACATTTCACCTCCTTTCCATATTTCTTCTCAGAGTGGATTATTCTGGGGAGGAAATGGGAGTTCTTGTTCCTTTCTAACATTTCACGTAATCCATCTGGTTAAGTCTCTGCTACCTTCTCTTCTGCTATTCACTGAACTGTGTACTTTCTGTTGCATGCGGGACAAGCATCTAACAAACCATACGGTGTGTAACTTCCATTCTGTGCTCTCGTTCTCTACCCCATGACTTTTTCAGGCTCTAATGTCCTTGATGCTGCCATTTCTCCTAAAAATGTATTTCTAGCAGAAGTCTTTCCTCTTGTGTAAATGGAGTGGTTGAGTTCTGCCTTTTTGTTTCACTTGCTGTGAAGATTAAAAGTATGAAATAGTGGGGTTTTTTTAAACATGACTGTGTCACTTTTAGTATTCATAAAAGCATCCAGACTTCAGGGAGAGAGGGAGGTGGATTTAGCTTTATTGGCTACCAAAAAGGAGATCACAGAATGGTTTGGGTTGGAAAGGACCTTGAAGATCATCGAGTTCCAACACCCCCACTAGACCAGGTTGCCCAAGGCCACATCCAGCCTGGCCTTGAAGATCAAGATGGCAGAATAGATGACCCACAGGAAGTAAAAGAAGAAAATCCTCCTTTCCCCTATAACTAAGATTTTCTGGGGTTTTTAGATTTTAAAGGAGATTATATATATACACACACACACCCCCCAGAACTAACTGTGTGTGTGACCCTTCCCCCTCTTCCACAGCGGTCATACATACATGTGGGCTTGGTTACTGCAGTGAGTAAACTGCAGCACCACGAAGCTTGTCATGGACCACGTGCCCAAATACTTCACCAGCCTTGGTCCGCGATGTTGTGAATGACTTGTCACCACAGTATCCTTACAGTTGATGCTCCAGCCAGCTAGGTCGAACCAAGTGCAATTTGTCCTTGGCCTCCAGCGTATCTACGGCTTAGTGGTTTAGATGTGTGCCATTAAGAAAGTATTTACTTCATAGCAGGCTAGCTGCTTTCCTCTAGTCTTCCAGTCAGGGTAGATGCTGCCCTCTGTCGTCTGTGGTGCCCTTAACCTCGGCCTTTGCTTCGTCCTCTGATGCAACTGCTGCATGTATGGGTTGACAGATGACTCAGTTTATATTACTGTAAAATAATGATGGATCTTAATGAGAGCTGAAAGCAGTAAGAACCAGCTCTCGAGCAATGTATGGGGATGAGTTTAGGATATTCTGGAGTGCAGTTTCTTGCAGTGACTTAGGACTAATACCCAATATAAAGGTAGCTTAAGTGACTGTTAAAACAGTAAGTCCATGGAGGAAAAAAGGAATAAGAAGGTTAATCAAACATTCTAAATAATAGCTTCATCTTTAGGCAACACTAGACTGAACTGCTACCCTCTGAACAGCTCAGTCTAGTTGAAAATGAATACTGTTGCAAGAACATAGTTTATTCTCTACTGAAGGTACTTCTAAAAATATCTCCATCTTTATTTTAATGTATTTCACACGATCTTGTATATAGTTTTTGATCATTGATTTTTATTTTGGTTTAAACGTGCATGGTGTTTTCATTTATAGGGGCACGTGGCAAACATGTTTTCCCTAACTTTGCATGCTTAAACCAGTGTATTCTCTGCAGTGGCATAAAGAAAACGGGTTTATTTAAAAACAGTAGTATTTGTCTGAGACAGCAGGTTTGGAATACCATGTTTCAGTGGCCGGTTAAAAATCTGGAATGCTGCTAATCTCTGACAGTTCATACCATGTGCCAGCTGTGAGGGGCCCTAAGTGAGGTGAGAGTCATGTTGGCCTAGTGGACATTTATTTACTACTTCCACGTTAGTTTTAATGATAAGCTATCTGTAGAAGACCTTGCCAAGCCAGGGCTGAGACACGGTGGTGGAGTACGGCTGGAAAGGCCAGGGCTGTCGCTGCCTGTCTAACAGAAGATAGCGGGGAAGGAGTTGCCAATCCACCAGGCACCTGTGGTTATAGTCAGAAGATTCTCCAGAGCCATTTAGCTGATCACATGTAAGGTTGGGTTAAGCTGAATAGTTCTCTGTGTGTTGACTAAATCTCCATTATTTCTAATGGGAACTGAGACACTCAACTGACACGGGGAGACACCTGGTTAAGTGCCTTAGTGACCTAAATGCTGCTGTGTGCTTCTGAGAGCTCTTGGAAATATAAAATGCAAGTATAAGGGAAGACAGTGCAGCGTTTCAGTTTCTTTGTAAATAGGGCTTATGCTAAGTGAAGAACATGCAAATTTCAAATTCCAATTTCTCTTGAAAAAGCATTATAGTAAAAAATGTACAATCTTACTATGCAAGTTGCATTTTAAACCCGATTCCAAATTCAAATTAATTGTATGAGTGGCACTCTGCAAATTTCCAAGTTTTAATCCTAACCTTTAGACCCATTTGTACACTATCTGATAGAATTTATCTCTCTTTTACAAACGAGAAAATGTAAACGTACACCTCCCTGTTTGTGCTGGGGGTAGTCTGTTTTGTAAAATGTTATACTGTGCTTTTAACCTTCCACAAGTATTACATAATGCCTTGTCATTGAAAAGCTGCAATATCTTTAAGCTCCATATGATACGGCCTGTTAAGCGTACAGACGTTCTCTGCATCATAAACTGATTTATATTTTCAAGAATTCTCCATTAAAACTTGTCTAGGAACCAAACAATATACATTGCCAGGAACTTTGAGGCATAATGAGATCCTTTATTTACAGTTTAAATCCCTCCTCCCTGGATGTTTTTCCAGTTAAATTTACATCTTCCTATTGCAAAGCTTTTTGTTAAAAATATTGGGAGAGGGGATAATTTTGCATTAATTAATTTGTCTGGCTGAGAACTAGCCACAACGCTGTATTTCCATGATTACAAAAAAAAAAAAAGTTAACTCCCCATCCCTTTCCAAACCAGTAGCTGATATACTTTAAATCAAGACAGGTTGCCCGGGGAACTGGTCGAAGGGTCTCTTGCTGTTACTGTGTATTTGTGAAGTATAGCCAGCAGCGGACACCTAGTTCCTCCTTCACCTCAAGCCAGATGAGATTGACTCAGATCTTGAGAAGAGTGAACAGAGACCCTTGACTTCTGTTGTCCAGCAATCCCGGTTCTGCCTGGACTTGAGAGAGAGACTAGGCTGGAGTCTCTCAGGTCTAGGTGGGATTGGATGTTCCTCATTGCTTGTTGCAGGCGGAGAAGCTGCCTTTAAGGAGAAACACCCTTTTTCTCTGAAAGCAACCATGACGAAAGGCAGTACACCAGCTACATCGTCTTCCTTAGCAGCAGCTATTGTTTTTGGGGTACACCAGTTACTTTTACCGTACCAGGTCTTGCAAACAGAAGGCAACAAACTTCTCAGGAGTTGCGATATAAAAATTTCACACCAAGTTGATTTCTTGCCTTGTCACCTTTTGGTACATCCTGTGGTATTCCCAGTTGATTTTCCAGGTTTATGACCCCGAAAAAACAGACACACCTGGTGTTTGTATGTCATGGGGGAGGATTTCCTTTAATTGACTGTAGGAAAAATTGTTTTAACCTGAAATATTTTAAATGCTGTGTAATTTAATAGAGTAGAATTTAATGAAGATGGTTCTATAGGCCATCTCAGACTGGGGGGAACTTCAAAAGGAGAGAGGTTCCCTCACTGCTGATGAAGGCCAGATACAGTTCTGGCCAGAACTGCCCTAAGGCTGACATCTGCGCTGTAGTTGGATACTCATAGAAGAGCTTCGTACTGGTAAACAACATTTATTTAGGTTGAAGTTCAAGTCGTGATAAGAGCACAGTACTGCCATTCCAGGCAGTATCGGTAGAGTCCCAGTGGTAGCCTTTTCTCCTGCTAAAATTTATCTATTAATTTTGAGTTCAAGCTGTTCATCTTAGGTGTGGAGGACACTATAAATGGAGGAAGTTTTACTGAGGTAAAAGGAAACCTGGGAACAAAGGAAGCTTAAAATAAGTTTAATTTAGAGGTTTTCAAATCTTAGCAAGAGAGATGTAAGCAGTTGTTCTGTAGGCATTTCTCAAATCAGGAGAAATAATGTTTTTATTACAGCATTTGCACCAGTACAGAAGTTTCTTAGTTTTAACTGTGCATTTTGTGCATATGGGGATTGTGGGGGACCTGCAGGAATAAAACAAGAATGACAAGTACTGAATGTTCAATGTAAATATTGGATGTGTGGTTCTAAAATATTATAAGCCTTTCCGCTTTGTTTCTAGAATTAAATTGTAATACGAGATAAGTTATTTAAATGTATATTATAGCAGAATGTGGTCTGTGGTCAGTCATGGTTTCAAATGATGTTGTTTGCAATTCTGTTGTTCTTTAAAAAATATCATGACTGCAGATCCCCGAGTTGATGGCTCAGCCCTGAGACGACCCCACAAGATTCAGCCCCTTTGAAGGAAATCTGTGGTGTAACCTGAACAGGATTGTGCCCTAACCCTTTGCTTTATTAGCTGAGCATGCCTTTGGTCAAGTTGCTAGAGGGAAAACTAGTTTGACTTAAGATGTTTGTGTGTACAAACAAAACATTAGTGAGTAATTTCTTAAGCTAATTTCTTAGGCTAATTTTTACACTTCTCGCAAACGGTGCTTTTTTCATGTCTTTAAATGTTAATATAAATATTTTTCTTTTTCTAGGGTGAAAATCCTATTTACAAGAGTGCAGTGACAACTGTGGTCAATCCTAAATACGAGGGAAAATGAACACTGCTTGTGTAACTTCACAACACTGTATGCAGCATAGCAATTTTTGTAGTCACAGTAAGATAGATTTAGGGCAAACTGCAGTGATTTTACTAATTCATTACATATAGGTTTGTTTTCCTGTGCAGGTTTTGAAAATGTACCATATGTAATTTTTTTATTTCTTTTTTTTTTTTTTTTGCAAATAGAAGTAATCAGTGCCAGGGGTCTGACAAAAAAAAAAACTTGAGACTGTGTAGCCTAGACAGCTAAGGTCACATGGTGCCTTTTTTGACCTTTTCCACTCCCGTGCTGTGAATCCAGGACTTCTGCAGGGTGCGATACTGCTATGGCGGGACTGGGAGGGACATGGTTAAAGCAATCAGCGTGAGGGCTCTGCCTAGCCATTTAGTATTAAACTCTCTAGCTTTACAGGGAAATCAGGGCTTGAGTTTGCAGATATAATTAAACTCATGTAGCATGGAGCTGGTGGTTAATTGGTCTATTTGCTAGACATCTGATTAAGTATATGGTAAGTTGAGTAAGTTGGAAGTGAGCAGTGTAAAATGCTGAAAAGTGTGTGCATACTTATTTTTAAGTTGCCTATTGCCAGGTTTTGGTTAAAATAAAAGGTTTGAGAAGAATGTTAAGAAGGAAAAAATAGCTTTAAAACACGTGCCATTACTGAAAAAGTTGCTGACTGGTAACTTGCTTAGTTTTTCTTTGTAAATTCAAGCCCTGGGTGGCAGTATCATGAAGTACCTTACCAAGACATCCTCAAAACACATAAGGGCCTTACGTCATACTGTGTTTTTATTCTGTAATATTTCCTTGGTTTAAAGCCTGGTGCTTTGTCACCCTTCTAATCTTTTTAACGTATTTGGTTGCGATTCTTTTTGTAATATTTTTGTATCAACACAAGCTTTTTTTTTTCCTTTTTTAGGGCAGTCTTAGCTGTAAATTTGCCTTTACCCTGTAGCTAAGATTGCGTAGTTTGTCATGTGACGTGAGTCGCACATCATTCTTGACATGTGCCATGTATATTTGCCTTTGACCATTCAAACTGCATCATAGTCATATTCTTGTTTTAAGTGCCTTTTTATTTTAACAGATGTTCACTTTTTACAGTGCTATTACTGAAGTTATTTATTAAATAAAAGTACCTTAAAATACTTAAATCTTGTCTCTTTTTTTCTTGTAGAAGTTGATACTATTCAAAAAAAATCTGAGAACTGTGTCTGTTTGGGCAAAAGGCAATAGAGATTGTAGTAATACCAAATATGTCCTTTCCATCAAATCTGAGAGAGGTTAAGCACAAGTGATCTTGGGTGACAAACGTTAGCTGTGGTATAAAATGCAGAAAGCCCAGGGTGCAGCACACAGTGCTGCGTGTTAAAGCACCCAGCTTTCATGTGCATGTGTGCTAAAGAAGTTCCGTAGTTCAATAACTGTTCCAGCAAATGGACTGTCTGGTTAATATTGTTTCACAGCACAAGACAAATGTGAAAAATTACTGCATTTTGCAGGAAAAGCAAATTTGTAGGTCTTCCAAATTTTTTAAGGGTATAAGGTTCTAGATAGATTATCAAAACCACTTCATAATTAAACACAAAGTACATTCATGGAATCCATATGATTCTTTTTTTAAAACTTGGTAGTTCAGGTTATCCTGAGAAGCTATGGGGGTGTGTTCTAGAAGTCCCTTTTAACCTCCATCTAAGGAGAAGGAGCTTGGTTTCCATGAAGTGGGAGGAGGGGCATGGATGGAGAGGTTGGGCTGTGTGTTCGTCTGTCTCCATCTCTCTCTGAGGGAAGCAATGGGAGACAGGAGGATCCGGGGGCCAGTTACAAGGTAGATTGGGTTGTCCAAGGCTGGTTACTGGAGGGATCTGGGGTGGGGTGGGTGGATGGATGTTGGTGCATGCGAGGTGGGGAGGTTTGCAGCAACCAGTGGAGCAGGACAGGCAGGGGTGGCAGCAGCAGCGGGGGAGAGCGGAGATCCGGGGGCAGCTGCTGCATAGGACTGAGTGTCTAAGCCCAGCGGCGGGAGGGATGGGCACTGTAGGTATGTCTGTACTTCCCACTAATGGGCCTCCATTCTGATCAGCCGGGAAGGCAAAGGGGAGGAGGCCATTGGTCCTGTTCATATTTGTGAGTGCTATTTTCCGTCATGCTGTGTACGTGTAGGTATGCTCTGTGTACATGTTTTCTGCGTGCATGTGCTTACTGGGAATACATGCTTAGGCTCAGTGCAGGTTGGACCTGGAGACACGGAGCGGCTGCAGTCTTGCTTCTCTTGAGCTACCAGATTTGGCAACAGGTATATCTTCTGCTGGTTGGTGCAAATGCTTCACGGCAAAGTCCTCGTTACTGCTCTGTATTAGTTCTTACATTGCGAATGCTGTTTCTTGTATCACCTTTCCAACTAAGGGAACCAAAACAGCCTGAGAACGCCATCTAACCTGGCCATGAGATAAGAAATGAGCGGGAGCTGCACCTGTATGTACAGCTCATGTTGTCTGTTCCTCTTGATACTGACTTTACAGAATTGCAAATTGGCTGTGGCCACGATGGATAAGATTTTGTTTTGGACATTTGAGTACTTACCTCTCTTCCTACTGCTTTGATCACTTCCCCAACAGTACTGAGGATTTGCAATAGCTCCATAAGAAAAGATGCAGAAATTTTTTCTAACCACATTCTGCATTACTTGTCCATGAAAACTGTCTTCATTGGAGACAAAGCAGCTTAAAAAGAAAGGGTAACTTCTGACCTTTATGGCTGTTGGGTTTTCAATATTCTAGAAAAAATAATGCTAAATTTCTGTTTCAGACTATATCAAAGTCCCCTTCAGATCTGTCCTTTTACCTCTTGGTTTTTCCCAGATGCACAGAACACTGGAATCTTGAACTAAGCAGAATTCATGTCACACAGGTAGTGGGATGTTGACCTTTAGGAACCCTGATCCCTGGACAGTGTTACCAGTCCTCCTAAATTAAGCAAATTTTTTAATTACGTGTGCATTAACCTGTTTCTGTCCTCGTATCTATGTCACATGTTCTGCAGTTTCCTTAGCAAGTCTGGTTTCAAAATGGGGTCGGTAGACAACTTCTTCCACAGAGAGATGCTCCTGAAGGCTTTGAATTCAAGTGGCCCGTTAAGGAGAGCTTTTTTTAAATCCTTGTTTAAACAGGATTTCTAGTGGCCACTTCCAGCCAGATGGAAGCTGCTTAATATCTCCAAGTGAACAGTTGCTTAATGAGAGTGAACAGCTGCCATCCCACAGTATCAGATTCAAGATACTATAAGTGTCACAGAATGTATGATTTGCTTTAAAGCAGGATTGGATGTTCTAGCTAAAAGAGATACTGTCGTTCAAATATGGTAAAATTTCAGTGCTGGGAAATGGAAGTAGTAGTGAATCCTTCCTGGCTCATAAATACTGACCTCAGCTACTTACCCTGAATTCTGCAAGTTGGTGAAGCCGTGAGCTCTTGCTAAAATACCAACAGGTGCATAGACTCAAAAGCCTGTGATCCCACACAAGCCAGGTGGAGGATCTCAGCAGTATATCTGTTTTGAAAGAATCACAGTTCGTATAGCCATAGTCTAGCTATCATTAATCCATCCGTTGCCCCGATTCCGGCCCCGGAACTAAAGAGCTAAGTTAGAATTGCTTTATGGCAGTTGTTAACAAAACAAAGTCTCTCATCCTGGATTGAAACTATAACAGCAAAAATACAAGTCAGCTAAAGAAAATAATTCTCTGTAATTGTGTAGTTTATTAAGTAACATCCATGAACTAACTTGGCCACAGTAAGTCTGGCCTTAAACGACCTCTGCGCTGCTTGAAGACTTGTATAGAGCACAAACTGACACAGCCTCTTAGCACAGCCTTGAGCACCTATATATGAAGAAATCTAGACTGATAAATATGTAAAATATATATCCTGGGAGTCCTGGTGGACAACAGGATGACCATGAGCCAGCAATGTGCCCTGGCGGCCAAGAAGGCGAATGGCATCCTGGGGTGCATCAAGAAGAGTGTGGCCAGCAGGTCGAGGGAG